CCTCTCAGGGTACCAGGCTCAAGACAGGCATGGGCTCAAGTCCAAGTGGGGACTAGGGACTCAGACAGGGCTTAGACCAGCCCAGGCACTTGCCTTCATTTAGAGTAAAGAGAGAACATTGGCCAGGACAAAATTCAAAGAGAAGGTGAAGATGAAGGAGCCAATGCTGAGGAGCCTGAGGGATCAGGGAGAGCCACAGGTGAGGGACGTCCCAGGGAAAGTCCTCATGAAGTTAGCCTGAAGCCAGGGGCTTCATGTGTTCTCTGTGCCTTCCCTGCCGATGGCTCTGGCACAGGGGACAGCCCCCCGCCTGCCTTGGCCTCCAGCAAGAGCGCACCCCCGGCAGGAGGGTGCACCAGGCCCCTGCCCTGCCAGCCCCTCCAGCTGGACTCAAGGCTTTACCCAAGCTCCAGCCACTGGCTGAACTGTGTCTCCTTCTGTCACTAGGACATACGGACAGAGGTGGTGCCCACGAACCCATCATGCAGGCCTCCTTCTCATACCCACCACCCTGCCCCCTCCAAAATCAAAGATATGAGTTCCCCAAGGAGACTTCATCCAAATCCCCCCTCCAAGGTCCCCTGCTGAGAGACAATCCTTGTCCTTCACTTTAGACCTGGGAGACTTCAGGGCCTGGGAAGCAGTTATATTTGGTGTGGCTGGAGAAGCTCTGAATCGTTGTCTTTGTGCCAGGCTGTCTCTCCAAGGTTCCCAGTGAAGGGGAAGCACTGAGTGACTCTGAGCCTTGTTGGAGCTTGGCCAGTCTGAAGGTGGGCCCAGATGACAGCCCCTAGCCCCTTCTCTGCTCCACCTAGGCCTTCCCTTTTCAAAGCCTATCCGACCAATTCCTGCCCCCCACCTCCCCATGCCTGGGCAGAAAGAAGGGCAGGATTACATTGTCCACTTTACAAATGAGTCAACTGAGGGCCAGAGGAGGGAACAGATCCTCCCTCCTGGTTTGGTCAGTTCATGCCAAATCCAGGACTGGGGCCTGAACCTTGAGACTCCCGAGGAACAACCTCCTCACCCCCATTTCTTGCTCCCTCTATGGCCCAGGACCTGCTCTTTCTCAAGCCTCCACCCCAGCTCCCCTCCCCATCGCTCTGCCCACTCACCCAGGCTGGAACCATGGGGCCATCTTCTTCTGCAGCCCCCAAAGTCCTCAGCCAGGGCAAGCCTGAAGTTGGTACCAAGAACTGTGGTAAGGGGCCAAGTGGCTGCCAACTTCACTTTCTCCCTTGGTGTTGTGGGAAGAGCAGACAGCATGGGGCTCCAAAGCCCCACACAGTGGGGCAATCATGGACACTTCATTCAGCCCCTCTGACCACCCAGTTCCTCATGGGTAAACGGGGCTGGGCACCTCTTACAGGTCTGGCCCACTGGGGCCATCCATCAGCCCAGGCCCGGTGGCTTCTAACTGGTGACCTGCCCTCTTAACACCCCTTGGTGGGACTGGCTTTTATGTTATTGAGTCTCCCAGGCTGGGAATGAGGGGCTGCTCTGCTGGGCCATGACCTGGACCCAGAGAAGGGAAGCTGGTGGTGCTGCCACAGGAGGGTCAGCCAGGAGTGTGGCACCTCCTGGATGCTGCTGTGCCTGCTGGAAGAGAGAGCAGTACTCCACTGGGTTTCTTGGGAAATGCCACGGGTAGAGAATGTTTCTCATTGGGGTCTGTTGTTCTGTTCCACTGCTAGACAGCCTGTGTCACATCTGTCACAACCACAACCACACCCACAGAATAGGCAGCAGAGGCTGCCACATCCTGGCCTGCAACCCAGGTCCTGGTGAGTCAGGCAGAAAGTGAAGGCGGCTGGTGCTGCTCCTGTGCCTCCTCCAGGCAGGCCTCCCTGAATGCAACTCTTGGAGTTGGGAGCAACTCAGTCAGCACACTTTCTCTGAGCAGCAGACTTGGCTCTCAAGGGCAGCAAGCACACCTCCAAGCACATGGTTGAGCATACCGAAAGTGCTTAATTCCTCCTGTGGACTCTGCAGGAGGGAGACACCAGGGAGGCCCCTGTGTGATTTTTCACTTTGCTTTCAAGTTAAATGGCACGATGGGCTACCTGAGATTTTGCCCAAAATGTGAACATCTGGCTCAGGCTGTGACCAACTGATCAGAGCTGACCTGGCTTACTGAAGGCCTTGGTATCCCCTGGGTGAGGCCAGATTGGGGGCTCCCTGGCCTCAGAATAAAGGTTGTCTAGACCTCCCTCCCCTGTCAGCAGATTTGAGTTCAGGGTAACATCCCCAGACAGAAACCTTGGCCCCAGGCTCCCAGAGGATCACCTTCCCAGCAGAACCCTGAGAGAGAGGGGGATTCTTCAAAGCTGAGGGCAGACCTGAGAAGCAGGTCCTCCTCCTCTACCCAGCAGAAGGTCTCTTTGACACAGACTGCTTTCCCCAGGCCAGGGGCTGGGAAAAGGAAACCACCTTCCCAGGTAGGTCTCAGCTCCACCTCCCTCTCTGCTTCCCCCACAGACCCTCTCCTGGGCTGAAGCCCTAGAGTTTTCTCTGGGGTGGGGGAGGTGACACCCACTTCTTGTTCCTCCCTGTATGCCTGCTGCCCTTCCCCCAGCTCCCTCAGGTTGGGGCAGAGGGGCAGGGAGTTGCTCCTGGGGAGCATTGACACCTGCCCTGATCTTCCACTTGCAGCACCAAAGCGCCTGGGGTGAGGGGCGGGGATTGCTGCCAAGGAGCTTTGAGGGCCGAGGGGAGGTGACAGAAGGTGCCACAGGCAGACCCAGGCCCAGGTGGGAGGGCATCCTGGTCCCACCCCACCTAAGGAGTCTCCATGCTCTCCCCCTCCCTTCCTCCTTTTCCTGCAGCTGATGTCTACACATTTCTTGTTCTTCTCTCAGCAACTCTGGCCTTTTAGAGTGTCCTCTGGGTGACTAAGGCCCCCCTGTCCTGAGTCCTCAGAGGACAAGTTGTGTGGGGATGTCAAAACAGCGTCTCCTGGGGTTCCCCCAGATATCATGGACCACGGCTCTCCACACTGAGGCCTGCTGAGGGGTGCAGCTGGGCAGGATGGGGCGGGGGTGTCTGCCCTCAGCCTATAAAATCCCTAGGCACACCCTGCCCCCACCCCACCTTCTTTTTCCTACAGCTGTACATATAGAGATATATAGACCTATAGAATGTGTGTTATGTGTGTACACACACGCACACACCTGTTTTCCTATTTGACATCTGTCTCCTCCATCTAGAATGGAAATGCAGAGTCTAGGTTGGTTCACCCTCAGGACCGTGATGCCAGGCTCATGATAGACGCTTAGCAATGTTTCTGGAAGGAATCCATAGCAAGGTCAGGCTGCTGTACTGGAGTTTCTGGGCCCTCCCCCACAAGAACTTTCCTTTATATTCTGTAGGCATCCCCAGTGTCTGCCTGCAGCCAGGCAATGGGATTATTTCATTCACTTTGGCTCAAAGGTGACATTTCACTTTATTAAACAAGAAGATGGCCTCTGAAGGCGCCAAGCCACGTCTTCAGATACCACCTACCGCAAACTGCCCAGCTTCTGAGCCCAAGCCCTGGTTGCTACTCCCAAGGAAGGGTTTTACTTATGGAAGAGTGTGTGTGTGTGTGTGTGTGTGTGTGTGTGTGTGTGTGTGTGTATTGTTGGGCAGGGGGCATTTCTCAAAGGGCTCCATTTAACATTCAATTTCAGGAGCAGTGAGGCAGGCAGGTGACTCCATCTCATTCCACTGCCTGGCTGAGGGTGGTGAGCACACCAGGCTCAAGGCCTCAAGGAGGACACACCAACCAGAACATTTCATCCCAATATTTATTGACCCCACACTCTGGAAGACCTGGGAACTTGGTTTTCCTGAAGGACTGGGAATAAGAGATAGAGAGGAGAAGGTGGGTGGATGGGGGAGAAGGTGCCTGTGAGGGCACAAGAGGTGTGAACAGGGGCCCTGGCACCCACAGAGTCTGCTGCCCTGTGCACATCGTCTAGCCAAGCCCACCCTGCAGGAGAGGGGCATGGGGCAGGCAGCAGGAGCGGATGGGCACTGGGGTCCTCCTGGAGCCACTGTCCAGGTCCTGGTCCCTGGAAGCCAGCCTTACTCCACAGGCCCCGTTTCTTCAGGATCCCCCAGACGCTGGGTCTTCTGCAGCTCCCACATCCCTGGGCTGAAGGGCCACCCAACAGGAAGGGAGGACACAGCCCACCACCACCTCTCCTCTCACTCCATGCCCCTCCAGAATCCTGCCAATCTGTTGAGGGAAGGAGACCTCTTCCAAAGATCAAGGCCATCGCTGACAGGCTGAGCTGTGACCCCAGTGTGGTTGGTCCGTGGGCACGTAGCCCTCCCCTCACCTAAGGCCCTGTCTGCCAGCCCCTTCCTCTAGCTCAGCCCTCCATCGTGGAACTGGGGGGGTGGGGGGGCTCACCTGCCCCTTATTTTCATGACGCTGGCCTGCAGGCTCAGTTCTCTGGGGAGGGCCTGGATGTCACTTAGAGTTCTGGTCTGTGGGACTTTCAGGGCTAAAACTGGAATAGTCCTGGGAAAAGCAGGATGGCTGGTCACCCTAGTGTCATTCTCCCCCAAACCCTTCTGAACCCTGCAGGTGGGTTCCACACAGATGACCCTAATGGCTTCCCACCCCTCACCCTTCCCCTGTACCCTCGTGCCCCAGAAAAAGCGACACTGTTTTGCTTCCTTTCGTGTTTCAGACTCAGCTCCTATGGGTCCTGAGGCGCCATACCTCCCCCGGGGCCCTTGGGGCTCAAGCCTCCTTCCTCCCCTAGTCCCACAAGGTCCTGTCCAGTTGACCTTTCCACCCTAGGGGGTGGCAGGCCTTGGGACCCCAAGCCCCAGGGCAACCTTGAAGTCAGGGCCAGAGGCATTTCCTCAGATGGCTCAAGAGAAACCTGGGCTGCCACCTCATAGCTGTGATCCAAGCAACTATCCCCAGGCCCCCGACAGCCCCTCACCCATCCTGCCCCTCCTGGGGTTCCACACCCCAAGTGTCACAGGCTCACACTCCCTCCATGTAAACATCTTCATTACATCTTTAATGCTCTCACATGGAGCTGCTCTGGGTTAAATTACAGCTGTATGCATCCTGAATTCCTGGCAGCCTCCAGTCGGCCCAAGTGCTAACATATTTATAGCATTTAGAGGAGGGAATAAATCCAGAACCTTCTTCATGGGGGCTTCCTAGGCCCTTCCCTCCTGACACGTGGCATTTGCCCAATAGAAGGTCTGCACACACTACCCCTGCAGCCCCTCCAACCAGCGGCGGACAGTGATGGTGGAGAGGCTGGGCACGGGACATGCCTCTGTGCACGCTTGTGTGTATACGTATGGCCAGCGTAAAAAGATGCTCCGCTCTTCGGGTCTGTCTCTGCCCAATGCCTTGCCAGGACCCTTGGCATCAGCCCTGACCCTCCAAGGCTTATGGAGAGGCCAAGTGCAGAGACCCATCTCCCCACTCCCTAAACACTGAATGGCTCTTCCCATAGATGGGATGGAGGTGGGAAATTCATAGACTAGGTTTTTTAGATCTTTTTCTGAGGTGCAATCCCTCACTTAATTTCAGGCAGTCATAATTGCCCCCTCTAGCCTGCAGCCTGTGATTACTGCCTTCAGACCAACAGCCTCTCCCAACCCCAGATCCTCAGTAGAGCCCAAGACAGGGAGCCGTTTTCAGAAGCAGGTGAGCCCAGTGAAGCAATGCGGTGGAGAGAGAAACCCTGCCGTGCATGCTTCCCTCTTCCCGGCAGTCCCTGAAGACTGAAGGCAGAGAAGATAGCCTACCCTGATGCTCCGCTACATACCATGGGGTACAGGTCGACTTGGAGGGTGGGGCCAATGTGGACAATCTCATCCTGCCCTCTGTGCTGGGACAGGCACGTCTGCCCGTGGGCACACTCATGCACATGCATGAGGCCTCTCGGCAGGTCTGGGGGGCTGCATCCTTCCACTTCTGTTCCCCTACTTCCTTCCCCCTCAGCTCCCATCCTAGCTTGGCCCCAGTAACATCTGGTTGCCAAGGATGGGTGGCTGGGAGACCTCCTGGACCCTCTGTAGTATGGATGGACCCTGGGTATAAACTGTCCTTCTCCTGGCATCCTTGCATACTGGGCAGTTTCAGCTCCATCTCTGGGCTTCTCAGGGCCCATAACAGGTGCTGCCCTACCCTGTCCCTATAACTTGGGTGGTTTCCTCTACCCATCCCAGAGGAGGCTCCAGATTCCAAAAAACAGGTCTTTCCCTAACAGAGGGAAACCTCCCCTTTCCTCCCCCAATCCCTCCCACTCCGTATCTCCCCCGATTTCCTCCACGTTAGCAGGGCAGACCCTAATGTGAGTGATCTGGACAGGGGATGAGGAAGCCAGCAGAGGCTCTTGACCTTCTCAGCATGAGGGATGCCCTTTGTGCCAGGGCCCTCAGATCAGGAGAAGTCAGTGGTCAGAAGTCCAGCCCAGCCAGGGCCCTCTCTTAGAGCCTAGAGTCAGCAGGTGGGTCTGGAGAACAGCTGGGGCCTGGCAGGGCCCTCTCGTGTCTTGGCAGGGCAGGTCCTCAGAGTAGGTCTTGACAATCAGGGAGTGGGGAGCTCTGTGGGCACCATGGCGGGTCTCTATCAGAAGTTCAGGCTTGTCCCAGGCCACTCACGCATGGATGGCATTGGCCACATCGGTAAACACCAGCCGGCTGGGCCTCTGCAGTGGGCCCTGGGAGGGCAGAGTAGTCTGCAGGAAGACAGGCAAAGGCATCAGAGACCATGGGCAAGGCCATGCATTCACTGGCCTGGTCACCTCCACCCTCACTTCCTGGTGCCTGCTTATGCTTGGCACCAGCAATGGCTTCTGCCTGGAATGCCCTCCCTGTAAGCTCAGCCTAGAAATATTACTTGCTCAGATGACTCCTGCCTAGCTTGCCCTGTCACCTTGGAGGCACTTACTGTGTTGATTTAATTATGCAGGCATCGCCTTTTCCCACCAGGGGATCAGAGGGCAGGACTCTGTACCCCCAAGCCCTAGCACAGGGCCTGGCACAGGGAGGAACATGGGAAACAAGTGTCAAGTGGCCAGCAGTCCCAGCGGCTGGGTGGACCAAGGTTCTCAGTGCGAGTTCCTGAATATCCCAAGGGGGCAATATATCCTGACCCAGGTGATGCAGAACCTTTGGCAAAACCAAAGGGTCTTCAGACTCCCAGCCTGGATTCTTTCTGAGCCCAAGAAGACGCAAAGAGGCTGGATGAGTCAGGGGCAGGTCAGGCCTGCTGATGGTGCTCTGGCCTGTGGGGATTTGGGGGAATGGTAGCAAGTGGTCAGGCAGCCCAGTGGCTACAGCAGGATGGCCACACAGGTACCTATCCCTTTGGACACAGGAGGCAAGTTTGGCTGGGGTCTTCACATGCCTGGGTCTGTCAGCTACTGGGAATCCACCAGCCTACTCAGAGGTACTGCTGCCCAAGAGTCTGACCCCATCCACAACCCACTCAGGGCCATGGACTCTCAGGAAGCAGAGGAATCTGGGGTCCTAGCCACCAACAATCTCCCCCATTAGTCCTTTCCTACTTTCCTAACCAGTATGTGGGGGCACACGGGGCAAGAATTAGGATTTTCACTTGTGGATGAGAACACTGAGGCTCAGAGATGCCAGTGGGTCTCCCAAGATCAGCAGGCTATGGGGCAGAGCCAGGCTGGATCCCAGGACTGCCTCGGCCTGGCCTTGTGCTGTGAGTTTGTGTGTGGCCCCAGAGCAATCTGACCACTTTCTGAACAAATCTGGCAAAAACCATGTACCCAATACCTGCTATCTGACCAGAAGGCAGGTGCTAGAAAGCTGCATGAGAAAGGAGGGAGGGTGAGGGTGGAGGACAAAGGACGCTGCAGGCAGGGTGGGGAGCCTGGTCAGTGCCCACCTTGCCCTGCATGGCCTGCACAGAAGTGGCAGCCTGCACAGAGGCGGCGTCCCGCCCATGTTCCAGCAGCTCCTGCTCCAACTCATCTTGTTCTTCCATGGGGTCGAAGTTGTACATGGGCATGAGCTGGTGGCGTAGCTTCTCCAGCCTGGGGATGGGGGCAAAGGCTGCTGGGGACAGGGCAGGCCCTTCCCCTCCCAGCAGCCCTCCAGGCCTTGCCTGCTGACTAGCTGAGCCATAGCACACAACCATGCTTAGGGCCTTAAGATTTTCCTTGAAATGAGAACAAATGACAGACATTTTTGTACCTGTAATACCAGCTCAATCCCTTAAATGGGGAGCCAGGGAGGCAGCAGTTATCCACTCCAGGGTAAGGCCATAGGCCAAGTAGCTGTTATCCATGGGCCCTACAGGGATCACCTAGGTTAGGGCCTTGCTGTAATCCATAGCGTCTGAGTCTCAGGTGGGGTTGGGGAGCCAGTAGCAGTCAGCTCAGAGTAGCAGGGCAAGGGTAGTGGGCAGTTGGGTGGGACTAATCCCAGCCTTCCCCCTCCCTGCCCATCCCCAATCCCAGGGTTATACCCAGTTATCTAGAATCCTCATACCTGCCTGCCCTGTGTGTGAGATCCTTGTGGGAGGGGGGCCCTCAACCCTCCCCAAAGGAAAGTGGTCACCCCCAACTGTGAATGGGCAGAAGAGGCCTTGACTCCCTGATCAGCTTTTCACCTACTTCCTTCAGAGCCCAGCCCAGCACTGCCCATGGGCTCGAGATTTGGTTGGGATTTTGGTTGGGGTGGGGAATTACCTCTTCTTCTTCCTGATGTACAAAACCTGCAAGAGAAGGAGCAGCATCAAATGGCAAGGAGAGGAGGCCCTGAGGAACCCAGCAGCCCTTCTGGATGGGGACATGCTGAGGCTGACGAACAAGAGACCCGTGGGTCCCCATCCTAATGACACATACACCCC